GATGAAGATCAAAGACCACAGCCTTCAGTATGGATCACACCTCAACATAAAGAAAACAAAGATCCTCACAACTGGGCCAATAAGCAACATCACAATAAATAGAGAAAAGATTTGAGGCTGTCAAGGATTTCATTTTACTTGGATCCACAATTAACACCCGAGGAAGCAGCAATCAAGAAATCAGACAACTTATCGTACTTGGCAAATCTGCTGCAAAAGACCTCTTTAAAGTGTTAAAAAGCAAAGCTGTTACCTCGAAGATTGAAGGTGCACCTGACCCAAGCCATGATGTTTTCAGTTGCCTCATATGCATGGAAAAGCTGGACAGTGAATACGGAAGGCTGAAGAAGAATTGACGCCTTTGAATTATGGTGTTGGCAAAGAATATTGAATATACCATGAACTGCCAAAAGAACAAACAAATCTGTATTGGAAGAGGTACAGCCAGAATGCTCCTTAGAAGCAAGGATAGTGAGACTACATCTCACATACTTTGCACATGTTTTCAGGAGGGATCACTCCCTTGAGAATGACATCATGCTTAGTAAAGTAGAGAGTTAGCAAAAAAGAGGAAGACCCTCAATGAGATGGATTGACACAGTGGCTGCAACAATGGTCTCAAGCATAACAACGGTTGTGAGGCTGGTGCAGGACCGGGCAGTGTTTCGTTCTGTTGTACGTAGGGTCGCTATGAGTCAGAACCGACTCAACGGCACCTAACAACAACATAACAACAGCACACAAATATTTTACCAATTAGTCCAGAGCCATTGATACTTCTTCTTTACTGTGTCCAATCAGCATATTGTCATCATTGTAATGGATCAGTGTGACATCTTGTGGAAGGGAGAGGCGAAGAAGTTTCCTGTGGGCTGAATTATGACATGAGACTGGAGAGTTGATACACCTCTGAGAGAGGACAGTAAAGGTGTATTGCTGGCCTTGCCAGCTGAAGGCAAACTGTTTCTGGTGTTCCTCAGAAGTCAGAATTGAGAAACAGGCATTGGCCGGATCAGTAGCTGCATACAGGATATCAGGCGATGTATTAGTTTAGTCAAGCAACGAAACCACATGTCTTAGTCATTTAGTGCTGCTCCAACAGAAATACCACAAGTGGATGGCTTTCACAAAGAGAAATTTATTTTCTCACAGTCTAGTAAGCTAGAAGTCCAAATTCAGGGCATCAGCTCCAGGGGAAGGCTTTCTCTCTCTGTCGGCCTTCTCATCAATGTTCCCCCGGACTAGGAGCTTCGCCGCACAGGGACCTCAGGTCCAAAGGACGCACTTTTCTCCCAGCACTGCTTTCTTGGTGGTATGAGGTTCCCCACTCTCTGCTAGTTTCTCTTTCCTTTCATCTCTTTAGAGATAAAAGATGGTGCAGGCCATACCCCAGGGAAACTCGCTTTACATTGGATCAGGGATGTGACCTGGGTAAGGGTAGTGTTACAGTCCCACCCTAATCCTCTTTAACATAAAATTACAATCACAAAATGGAAGCCAGCCACACAATTCTGGGAATCATGGCCCAGCCAAATAGATAACACACGTTTTTTGGGGGACATAATTCAAACCATGGTACTACATCTGGAATAGCAGCCATAATTGGAGTCACCACCTGGTTAACTTTAGGGAAACCCACTGTCGTACTCCAAGATCTATCTCTTTTTTTTTTCAGAGGCCAGATAGACTAGTTGAATGGGGCTGTGGTGGGAATAACCACCTCTGCATCCTTGAAGTCCTTGATGGTGGCAGTAATCTCTGCAGTCCCTCCAGGAATGTGATACTGCTTTTGTTCACTATTTTCCTAGGAAGGGGCAGTTCTCATGGCTTCCACTTGGCTTTTCTACCATAATAGCCCCTACTCCACTTGTCAGTGATCCAGTGTGGGTGTTCTGCTAGTTACTGAGTATATCTATTCCAATTATGCATTCTGGAACTGGGGAAATCACTACAGGAATGGTTTGGGGACCCGATGGACATACTGTGAGATGAACCTGAGCTAAAACTCCATTAATAACCTGACTTCCATATGTCGCTACTCTGACTAATGGGATACGGTGACATTTTTGGTCTCTTGGAATTAGTGTCATTTCAGAGCCAGTATCCACTAATCCCAGATAAGTCTGATTATTTCCTTTTCCCGATGAACAGTCACTCATAAAAGGCCATAGATCCCTCTAGGGAAGGCTGGGAGAAAGATTAGCAGTATAAATTTTTGGCAGTGTAGTGGGGTCCTTCCTATAGGAGACCCAGCCTCCCTTTCATTCAAGGAGTTGTGGGTCCATAAACTGGCTCGGGTCTGCCAGTTGATTGAGGGGCCGTGACTGTGTTCTGGCAATTTGAGTTAGACTGCCATTCACTTAACCTAGAATTCTTCTATTTGTACAGATCAAGTAAGTACCATCTTTTTCTCTCTTAGCGACAACTAAGTAGCCAGTGTCATAAGTCCATACGAGTGAGACTAGTCAGAGTACTGGTTTGATTCTGGTGTCTGTGTTGATTGAGTGCAGCCACTCTACCACCATTGTATTACAATCAGCCACATTGTAGTTGGGTGTCTTAATTCAATTAGGATTCAATTAGGGCAGTTCCCACTGTCAAATATGACTCACATACAATAGCAGTCACATCAGTCTTCAAGGCTTCCTTTACAAGTGTTGTCCTCACTTTTGTGGTAAAAGATATGTCCTCTGGGCACTCTACTTGTGGGTCTGTGGGTCTAACCTGATCTACTCTAACATGCCATTTTCCCTAAGCCTTTGGATACCTTCTTCTACAGTATACCAAGGCAGGTCTGGTACTTCAACTTGATTTAGTGTGGGCCACTGTGTAATCCATGCCTCAGTGAACCAACCAGATAAACTTGTACCCTTTCCTAACCTCTTGAACTGAAACACTGAATGAAGAATCTGTGCTTAGTGTGCCCATATGAATAAATTCAGACTGATTCAACTTTATGTTCCTCGTACCATTATCCCACACCCTTAATAGCCATTCTCACACATATTGCCCAGGTTTCTGTTTGTACCTATAAGAAGTGTCAAGCAGTTCTTTTGGTACCTCCTTCTGCGTGATAGTTTGTACTTCACCTTTTAGGGCTCACTGGGGCTTACGTCTAGTTATAGGTCTAGAAGCAAAAATGGGTGATGTGGGTGGATCCTAGGAACATTCATCAATGTCTTGTAAGGTATTTACTCCAGGTGATATTTCAGACAAAGACTCTTCAGGCACAACAAGGTGAATCTCATTATATGGTTGTAGGAGGGATAATGGTTTTATTGGGGAGAGTAGCTTAGCAGACAAAAACGGAGTGATCTCTTCAGATGAGAGTAAGAGGGTTCTGTTGACAGAAGTGATTCATTGGGGCTCAGTGTTTCCAGCTTGCTGATTATCTGCCCATATGTCCCCATGCCAAGTTTTAGAATCCCATTTTTTCACAATCAGTGCACTCATTTTAACTTTAGACACCATTCATTGTTGGGAATTCATGTTGCGTTGTAATCCAGCCAGTCTTACGATAAGACCCTGGCTTTGGTTGTTGGCAGTATCAGCTCTATTACTACAAGAAATGAGGCTTGTTTTCAGGGATAAGTGCCAGCTTTCAGGTCTTTATTTGGTGCTTGAGGTTTGACTCTGAAGCGCTTTGCTCATTACTTTCTTTCACCACTTTGTGTAGTGAAAATAAAACCATCCAGCCAGCTTCCCTATACTTCTCATTTTGACGAAGTTGTAGAAAAGTATCAAACATATGGTCACCCAGCACTTTGCTTCTCACCAACACTTGATCTGTTGGTAGTGATATTTTGTGTATTAATATTGCAACCTTACGCCATGGATTAAAGCACCCTCTTTACTACTGAAGGTAGAATCATATATAGGTGGGTCCCTGGTCGTGCAGTGGTTAAGAGCTTAGGCTGCTAACCAAAAGGTCAGCAGTTCAGACCTACCTTGGAATCCCTATGGGGCAGTTCTTCTCTTTCCTATAAAGTTACTGAGTGGAAATCGACTTGATGGCAACAGGATATATATGTGTGTGTGTATATATATATGTATATGCTATGTATATATAGAAAAACAAACAAAAAAAGGAAATAGCTAACGTGGTTTTGGAGGTTGACAAGTCCCAAGTGTGTGGGTTAGGCGTTAGGCTGGGGCTTTTCCTGACTTACGTAGCTGCAGGGACTGACGAACCCAAGATCAGCATGACACATGTCAGGCTGCTGGCTCAGCAGGCTTTGGATACTGATGAATTCAAGGTTGCCAGGTTAGAAAATAGGCTGCTGGTTCACAGGCTGGAGGCCGACAGATCCCAAGATCGGTAGGCAGTATGGCAGGCAGCTGGCTCCAGTTCTAAGAACCAAAGGTCAGATGATAATGAGCCAGATGCAGGAAGCAGAGCCATCAAGCAAGCTTTGCCAGAACATCCATGTATATATTGGATGCAGGCCACAGCCTGGAGGAGACTCACCTTACAACTGATTGGTTGCTCACATCAGATCATATCATGGAAGATGACTGCATCATTATATAACTGCCAAACTACATCATTACATAACTGCCAAACGACTTGAGAAACATGGCCCAGCCACACTGACACACAACCTTAACCATCACAGTTGCCTGAAAATTCCCCTTCTTTTGCTCTTTTTTTTCCCTTATGTTTAAACTTTTGTCTTTAGCATGTAGAAGTCTTTAAACTTTAAATTATGATGTAGCCAGATCTATGAGTCTTGTCTTTATGATTTTCCTTTTAAGAGCAAGCTTTAAGAAGTATTTTTTACTGCCTCTAAATTTTGATGATGATCAACTCAATTTTAGTTTTTTTGTGTTAAGATCTAAATATTTTAGTGAGTAGCTTGGGTTGATGCTATATACTTTATTTTTCAAAATTGCATTCAGTTGGAACTGATTGTTAAGTAGTTCTGTTTAATATTATTATTGTTACAAAGTCTGTGAACTTTGCCTGCTCTAATTAATTTTATCTGCATTGCATTTTTAAGACACTTGCTCGATGCCTGATTTTGTGGGACGATATTTTACCAAATTCCAAGTGGGTTGATAGCAACGTTCCTCAAGTAAGTACACGTAGTAAATATCACTAGCAAATACTTAATAGCATAAAAGTACGATTTATTGTGGGATTTTCCAGAACTCTATAAAATATTTTTTATGTAGGGAATATTGAAGCAGCCTTGGCGGCACAGTAGTAAAGCATTCAGCTGCTAACCAGAAGGTCAGGCAGTTTGAACTCATCAGCCGCTGCGCGGGCGGGTGAAAGATGTGGCAGTCTGCTTCTGTAAAGATTACAGCCTTGGAAACCCTATGGGGGCAGTTCTACTCTGTCCTGTAGCGTTGGGTATAAGTTGGAATCGACTTGACAGCAATATGTTAGGGTTTTTTTCTTTTAGGTTTATGAAATATTGATGACGATGGTATCTCTTGAAGACGTAAGAACTTTCATTTTGAGATTGTATATTGACTATAGACTACATACATACAGCCTTCCCTTTTGACCCCAGATCCGTAGAAATCACAGATTTTTAAAAATTAACCAAAGTACTCTAAAAAAGTATTTTGGGCTTTTTAAAACTCTAATTAAACTCAGATTTATCTAGGATGTTATTTTACTTTTTGATGATTTTGGATCTGTATAATAACTTTTTTTAACTACTTTATGACATATTTGTTCAAAAGCCAAGTATATTAGTGAAAAATAAGCAGACTCCTTTGTAAAAAACTCAACATCAAATATTATAATTAACTAAGTCTGGTGTCCTCATTTTTTGTTAATTTGGAAAATAAAGCTATTTATCCTTGAGAACGCTAGGGATTTGTTTACTTCCCCCAGTATTTTAATATGAAAGACTTCAAGTTCCCCAACCAAGGGCCAAACTTGTAAGCAGGCCTTTCTAAGGAGAACAGTCTCAGACTGCTATATTGGCTCTTTTCGGCACAAGAAATTTTTTTTTTTTTGAGCATATTGAAGATGTTATTCTGTTGTCTTCTGTCTTCCACTTACTCTTCTGGTGAGAAGTCAGTGATTATTCCAATTATTTTTTTTACCTGTATATAATGTGTCATTTGTTTTATAGCTGATTTGAAGATTTTATCTGCATATATGGTTTTCAGCAGTTGACTATGATGTGTTTAGTTGTAGTTTTCTTTGCATTAATTCTCATGGAGCTTTATGAATTTGTCAATTTTTGTCCTTTATTAAATTTGTGGTGTAGACTGGGACCTGCCATGAGGCCAGAATCCATGAAAAAGGAAACTTACCCAGTGATATTTCTGTCTTCAGGTGTCAAGTCTCCTCTAAAATCTTGCTTTTGTTCATGCTCCAAGTGCCTGTAGGCTTGGGGTTGATGAACTACAGTCTGTCTGTTTTTGTAAATAAAATTTTATTGGAAGACAGCCACATGCATTCATTTACTTACTGTCTGTGGTTGCTCTTGTTCCACAACGGCAGAGATCAGTAGTTGCAACAGGGAGTATGGCTCACAAGTCTGAAATATTACGGTCTGGACCTTTAAGAAAGAGCTTGCTGACCCCTACTGTAGATAGTTGTTTTTTATATTTTATTTATACTTAGTATCTGCAGGAGGGTCAGTCTGATAGTTTTCACCCTTTATCTGAAGTGTACCTTCTAGGTTTGTTTAATTCTTCTGGTTTGTTAATCACTGATGTGAAACAGATGAGGAAACAGTGGGTTTTAATTGACTTGTTTGCCACTAAAATTTTAACTCCTAGCACACTGAGATGTCAAAGATGTCAGTTGTTTTTGAAAGTGCCCTTTATAATGTACATTGTAGGGTGCAATTGTATTTTTTCTTCCATTTCTTCATTCAGCAAATATTTGTTGATCCTCTGCAAATGTAAGTCACTGTGCTAGATTCAGTGCTACATTAACGATGCATTTGACATGTAGGCTGCCCTCAAGAAACTTTAGTTTATGGAATTTACTAAGTTTAGTTTAGCAAGTGATGTTAGACATGTGCAGAACTGTATTCCCAAATTGAAAGTGATAATTCATGTAAGAGAGAGTTTTCTTTTTAACCTTTGTAAAAATATAGTCCTTGGTCTCTTAATACAAAATTATCTCTGACATTTCTTTTACTTCAGATGTAATAATTTTAAATTTGGCCTTTATTACATCAGGTATACCACAAATAGAACATATAACAAGTTCACAATTCTACTAATTGGTGTTGCCTGTCACCCTCGGCTTCTCTCCGGTTTCGTCCACTCATTTAAGTGCTTCTGCAGCAGAGCTCTATGTAGGAAGCAGCCTTGAGTCAGGACTTTGAACTGGTTCAAACCAGTTCAGTCATGGCTGAAGAAGTGAAACCAGGACAGACCCGAATTTTTACAGTTTGTGTGATCAGAATGATAACTGCAAGGGGAAAAACCACAGAAGGAAGCCCTGGAACCGGACCCTCGGAAAAGGTGTAGTGGGCCCTTTCAGGAGCCTGATGCATGAGATTGGATTATTGGCAGGACTCTGGACAGCGACACACGTTCAGAGCGGCTCAGATGGCTGCCATCTTTGTGTGGGGCACTGTTGTTTCTGACTCTGCTCCAAGTACAATGGGCGAGAGATTTGCTTGCTATGCAGTGCGTATGCCGCCCTTGTTTTCTAACAGGGAGATTAGGTTTCTAGCAGGGCGTCAACCCATAATTTTTCCTGTTCCAGTTATCGTTCTGGTTCACCCAATTTTAAAAAATTCAGGTCTGTTCTGGTTTTGTTTTCTCGGCCGTGACTGAACCGAGAAGAACTGGTTCCAAGCGCTGACTTGAGTCAAAAGGAAGATTGAAAAGACCACTTTGTTAGTAGTTTGTTTGTTTGAACTTAAGCCTTATATAAAATAACATCAGCTACCATCTTCACAGCATTTTTTTCTTCATAAATAGCTTTACAATCTTATGTAATTCTCTTATGTAGAGCTGTGCTGTAAGTGGTTCAGATACTGCCCTTAGTGGGTAGGTGGGAATGACTTACTGTTTTTGATTATCTACATGTCTGTGTATCCATTAGCCTGGAAACTCCTCGAGATCAGCTACTCTGTCTTTTCCATCTTTTATTCCCAGAAACATGCACGTAGAGCCTAGTACATTACTATTAAATTGAAAGAAGACAGGCTTGTCCAGCTTCACCCATCTGGCAATAGATGGGGTAAAACTGACACCTAGCTGCTGCTGTTATTGTTGTTAGGTGCCGTTGAGTCGATTCTGACTCATAGCGACCCTGTGTACAACATAACGAAACACTGCCTGGTCCTACACCATCCTCACAATCATTGCTATTTGAGCCCATTGTTGCAGCCACTGTGTCGCTGAATTTTGTTAAGGGTCTCTTCCTCTTTTTTGCTGACCGTCTACTTTACCAGGCGTGATGTCCTCCTCCAGGGACTGGTCTCCCCTGATAATATGTCCAAAGTATGTGAGACAGAGTCTTGCCATCCTTACTTCTAAGTAGCATTCAGATTATACTTCTTCCAAGACAGATTTATTCGTTGTTCTGGCAGTCTGTGGTATTTCAGTATTGTTTGCAAGCACTGTAATTCAAAGGCATCAATTCTTCTTACGTCTTCCTTATTTTTTGTCCAGCTTTCACATACATAGAAGGTGATTGAAAATACCATGGCTTGGGTCAGGCCACCTTAGTCTTCAAGGTGATATCTTTGCTTTTTAACACTTTAAAGAGGTCTTTTGCTGCAGATTTGCACAATGCAGTACGTCATTTGATTTGTTGACTGCTGCTTCCGTGGGTGTTGATTGTGGATCCAAGTAAAATGAAATCCTTGACAACTTCAATATTTTCTCCACTTACCATGATGTTGCTTATTGGTCCAGTTGTATAAGATTTTTGTTTTCTTTATGTTGAAGTGTAATCCATACATAGATCTTCATCAGTAAGTGCTTCAAAACCTAGCTGTTACAACTTCAGATCTTGAGATTTTTGCATTGGATCCTCTTAGAAGCGTTTGGTTTTCTTTTCTTGCTCATTTCCTGCCTGCCTCAACTGCCCCTAAGTGATTACATTTCTCTCTTTGATTGTGCCGTATGTTTTTGATGATTTTATTTTTTAATTTTAGGGGAGCATAGAGAAGATGACATGTACCAAATTCAAGACTGTTTTATTTTTCACCACAGATATTTATAACTCATATTCTAAGTGATGTTTTTAAATAGTTTACGAGCACTACAAAGGGCTTACTGTGTGCCAAACATTAATATTAAGAGCTTTAAATAGATTAAGTCATATAATTTTTACAGAAACCTATAAAGTAGGAACTTTTATTATCCTCATTTTAATGATGAGGAAACTGAGAAACAAGCAGTCAGGAAATTTGCCTATGGTCACATAAGTGGTCTTATTGGGATTTGAACCTAGGCCTTCCAGTTTTAGTGTACATGCTCTTTTTAATACAAAATGGAGCTTATATATGCCTGCTGTCAAAATAGAAATATTTCATTCTTGTATGATGATATAGGTAAACATTTTAGTGTATATGAATGTTATAATCAGGTTATCCCTGTGTAAACAAATTGCTCAGTTTGGAGTTATGTCAGTTTTTTGTTTATGTCACTCAATTTTTGATTAAATAGCATTCAAAATTAAAAATAAAAACTGGGGAGTAAGGAAGAAAGATGGATGTGGTTATCAGCTTATGTTTCACAGTCAAGATTCTTGCTTACCTCATTGAGATTATCAAAGAAAAAAAATTACAACTTTTTTGTTTTGCATTATTTGGTTCATAAGAAGACTATAGTAAGTGGCTTTGTAATATTTATTGGTTTATTAGATTTTGAAAAGTTATTTTCCTGAGCACTCTTCTAAAAAGAATTGGAAGAATAAATCTTTTTCATTGTTAAACTCCGTGTACTTGCATTTATATGATGTTTAGAACATAACATAGCTTTTTTTCTTTTTATGTTTTGAAGAGTAAAAAGATCAGATCCATTCTTGGTTGTTAAAGCCAGATAATCTGTGTACATTTTTTGATAAGTTGTTCACTGTCTATACTGAAAGTAAAGAGATGTGTTTCTAAACAATTGTTGCAGATTTAGCTTAACTTGGAAATTAGCCTAATGATTAACCTCACCTCTGGTAGGTAGGTAGTCTCAATGCTAGAAACATCCCATGAAGAAGAAGTATAAGTCTGTGATTAGTTCTCTCCCATTGTAATTTTCCCCCTTCCCCACTGCTTCTGTTCACCCCCACCCTAACTCTGATGTAGCCATCATCTTGCATGTCAGTTGACTAGTGTGAAATGTTACTACTCTGTTATTAATACAGAATATACTTAAGTGCTCCAGTTTGTATTTGTTCAGTCTCACTCAGTAATTGGTTATATGTGGCCCATCTTAGATTTGCTAATTGATTGCATTTAATGTGATTAAAATCCAGGCCTTTGAATGAAATGGTTTGAGCATGCTTATTTTATGTTTAAGTATGGACATGATAAGCAGTATGTTATTCTCCAAATTATTGAATGTTTGTAACTGGAATATTAATATCTAAGTATTCTTGCTTGCTTTCTTGGCAGATTATCAGAGAAAATAGTATCTCTCTCAGTGAAATTGAATTACCTTGCTCTGAGGATTTGAATTTGGAAACTTTGTCGTAAGTAATGTAATGTCAAAAAAAAAAAAAGGAAAAGAACTATTCTAGTATCATCAGATAAATAAATTGAAATATAAATACTCAGGAATACTATTGTCCTTGATTTGAATTATTCTGAGTTCTCAAATTTTTCTAACCATTATTTATCAAGTGTTCGCAAAGGTTTTTTTTTAGCTGTCTGAAGTGTAGAGCTCTTGCTCTCAAGAAACAACGTTGAAGATTCATTAACTTATACATATTATTCTCTTATCCTTTCTAATTTTTTTTAACTTGGCAATGCATTTAAAAAAAAAGTCTTCTTTTGCTACATAGGAAATAGTTCAGGCAAGAGGCAAACTTTATTAATAAGGACTACAGCTTGTTTCTGCTGAAGAAAACATGCAGAAACCTGCTGATTTAATATAGGCCCAACTGAGCATTCCCCAAAGGATATAGACTGGATTAGGAACAGAAATATTTACTAGTTTTACCCAAAGATAATGCATAATAGTGAGTTCTAAAGTAAAATAATGACAGCATTAAATTTTTTGTAATCTGATTTCAGGCAAGCACATGTCTACATAATTGCAGGGGCCTGTTTGTCTCTGGGTTTTCGATTTGCTGGCTCAGAAAACTTATCAGCGTTTAACTGCTTGGTAAGAAGTATTCTAGTTTACTCTTCTTTTTTCTTTGTTAACAAAGTCTTAAGATGCCTGTTTTAACTGTGAATTTTTTCTTTTGTTTTTCCAGCATAAATTTGCAAAAGATTTTATGACTTATTTGTCTGCACCTAATGCTTCTGTAGTAAGTTATTTTATGGTTGTCCTTGGGAATAAAATCAAACTTGAAGAAAATTTATTGATGCATCCATTACTTCTGTGTTGTCAAAAATCTGCTACTTGTTTGAATTTAGAATGGGAGATTTGAAGTTTTGGTTCTCCTTTTTTTTTTTTTCTTTTGGGATATTGATTCAATGAGAATATGATTACCATTAAAGAATGCACAGGTATCTAATAAGTAAGAAAGGCCATAACCTTCATGGATTGTCATACCTTCTGTACTCTTTCTCAGTGCTGAATGTTGGTAATTTGTTTTTTAAGAAATTAGTATTTAATAAAGATATAATTGCTTTTTTTTTGGCAGTTGTTTTGAGACATTGCTGCTTAGATGACAGGAAGACTGCATGATTTTATTTCTAGTAAAAACCACACAGATTTATGCAACATTATTTATAATATGGATATTTTGGAAACATTACAAAGTCTAAATGTAGTTAAATAATTTATAGTGTAGCCATACATTTATGCACAATGGAGCTATCAAAATCATGTTGTAGAAGAATATTTTTATGAGTAAAGATTTCTTATAGTATGATAAAGGGTAAAAATATTTTATATAGTAATATCTCAATTTCATTTAAAATACAGATAGATAAAAAGATTCGGAGACAATGAAAACCAGAATGTTAACAGTGATTTTTTTTTAATGGGATTCCAAGTGATTATATATTTCCTTCCTGATACTTTATTTCCTGAATTTTCTACGTGAGCTATGTGTCAGAATCAGAGAAAATAAATTTTTTATAGATTTTTTTTTTAAGTTACAATATTCGTAGTCTTCTAATGATGGCCTAGATAGTTTTGATAATGAAGAAATGTAACACAACACTGTAGTAATGTCATCTTTTTCCATTTCAAGACAGGTCCTTACAACCTAGAAACTTGCTTGAGTGTGGTGCTGCTGTCTCTTGCCATGGTGATGGCTGGCTCGGGGAATCTGAAGGTTTTGCAGCTTTGCCGCTTCTTGCACATGAAAACAGGTGGTGAAATGAACTATGGTTTCCACTTAGCCCACCACATGGCCCTTGGGCTTCTGTTTTTGGGAGGAGGAAGGTAAATAGTTATATATATTTTTTCTCAATGAAAAGGTCTCAAGAGCAAGCTCTAGAAGAGTGACTTATTTTGATTTTGAAGATACATGAAAATTTTCAAATAATTCTGACTGTCTGTCACCAGCTTCACTAGTAGCATTATAACACTTTAAAGAGGCTTCTTTATAGTTTAACTACCAGTGTATGCCCTATTCAGATAGAGTTACCATCCTCTCTTACATTCTTACTTAGCATCGCCTCATTTCTCAGAAAAGTCTGTACTCAGGACTTTAGTGCATCGCTTACTGTTCCCCACTGTTTAATGATTAATTTTTTACCCTTTTCCTGAATTGCTTTCTCAAAAAGATCATGAACAACACCAGTCACCAAATCCTAAAACATTTTCTTAGTTTTCAACTTTCTTGCTCTCTTTTCAGCATAGGTCATTGCTAGACTACCCCATCCTTTATAAGACTTTCGTGATTTTTAATGATCTGTATTGAAGGAAAACATACATACAGAAAAAGGTAGAAATTGTAGAAGTATAGCTCAATGAACTATCCACAATATGAAAATCTCTTTGTTACGATGCACGTGAAAATACAGAATAGTTCTTGCATCTCACAACACACTGTGTCTACCCCTGCCATGCTGTGCCCCTCCCAGTCAGTGTATCTTGCTTCTCCCCAAAGGTAGCCACTTTTTAGTCTCCTAATACCTTAGATTAGTTTTACCGGTTTTTTTTAATTTGAGTGGAATTATACACTATATCTTTATGTACCTTTTCTTCTTTTGCTCAACATTATATTTCTGAGATACATTCATGTTGCATGTATCTATAATTTATATTTCAGTGCTGTATTGTATTCCATCGAATGACCATGTGGTTGTTGTTGTGCCGTCAAGTCAGTTCTGACTCATAGCAACCCTGTGCACAACAGAACGAAACACTACCCGGTCCTGCGCTATCCTCAGAATTGTTGCTATGCTGGAGCCCATCATCGCAGCCCACTGTGTCAGTCCGTCTTGTTGAAGGTCTTCCTGTTTTTCACTGACCCTATACCAAGCGTGGTGTCTGCTCCCTCCTGATAACATGTCCAAAGTATGTGAGACATAGTCTCGCCATCCTTGCTTCTGAGGAGCATTCTGGTTATACTGCTTCCAAGACAAATTCGTTCGTTCTTTTGGCAGTTCATAGTATATTCGGTATTCTTCAACAGCACCACAGTTCAAAGGTGTCAGTTCTTTGGTCTTCCTTCTTCATCGTCCAGCTTTCGCATGTATGTGAGGTGACTAAAAACACCATGACTTGGGTCAGGCACACCTTAGTGCTCAAGTTGACATCTTTGTTTTTCCACACTTTAAAGAGGTCTTTGCAGCGGATTTGCCCAATGCAATGCATCTTTTTTTTTTT